ACACACACACACACACACACACACACACACACACACACACACACACACACACACACACACACACACACACACACACACACACACACACACACACACACACACACACACACACACACACACACACACGCACACGCACACACACACATCGTTTGTTGTCAGTTTCGTCGATTCTCGCGAGAATCACCGAGGTCGCGTCATTCGGATCACGTGGCCGCGTCACGGTGCGTGATAGGGTAAGCTTGATCCCATCACGCCGTATTGTCAAACGTCAGCTGTTGCCGCGGTGTTCTCGTAAGTTCCCGCGAGATCTCGTTTGTGCGTTCGCTCTTCATCTCGCAGCATCCCTGCACACCCCTCTCTACTCGGTCAAAGCCACCGCACTCCAAGTGTGTGCGATACACGCCACACGAACACAGCAAATCCAGCACAATCCGATCAATCACCATTTACAGGGATTCTGTGTGACCTTCTGCGGAACATGTCCCCGGAAGTCGTGAACTGGGTCACGCCATTGGCTGCTTTAGCCTGATCGGTGATCACACTCCTCTAAAACAGAATGCAAGGAAATGGACTCGGTCAAAGTAGTTGCATAGAGCGTCATGACCGCGCATACACGCGCAGTAGACGGAATGGCCATTTTTTTAGCACGGATTTAAAAAAAGCGTTGATTGAATTCTCTCAAATCTTTGTCGTTAACTCGCGGTAGAATGATTCGACGCTATCGCGAAAAAATGTGTAGACGTGGTGACGAACCTATGAGGGTGGGAGGCGTGGTGACGAGCATATGAGGGTGGGGGCGTGGTGACGAGCATATGAGGGTGGGGGCGTGGTGACGAGCATATGAGGGTGGGGGCGTGGTGACGAGCATATGAGGGTGGGGGCGTGGTGACGAGCATATGAGGGTGGGAGGGGAGTCGTGCGTCAGCGTCTGTCGTCGCTGAGTGGCCAGAGTGGGCGGGCACCTGTGGATACGCATCAAACGATAAAATTAAATACATACTAAGTAAAGACACGAGCACGTGTAGGCGGACGGGAAATATCCAACTCACAACGGTTTGTTGCGGTTAGGGTTACGCATGCCCTGGACGGATGGCGGGCAAGGAATGGAAGCAGTTATATGCGGCATACAGTGTGCGAGCGTTCGGCACGCGTTGCTTTACCACGATAACCTTAAGCCACGCGGTTTTAAAATAATCAAATTATTTATTTGTTCGTTTTCGTTCGCAACGCGATTTAACTTAACGAAAACAGAAACGCAATAGTTTGTTGTGACTTGATTCGTTTCCGTACCTTGCTCGATGGCAGAATTGCCCGTGGACTTCCATCGTCGAATTAAATAACCCTCGAAGAGAAAATCGGAAGTGAAACGGGAGCTTTAAAAAATGAAGCCAGTCATAAACACGCTGGACCGCATTTATCGACCCCCACCCCCTCCGCCCACTCTCTCGCAACCTCTCTTTTGCCCCACTGCCTCACGCCCAATGCAACCGGAGGCCGAGTAACTACGCAGCCCAGCATCCTCTCTAGCTACCGTGTTGATCTACATGCGCTGAACGTTCTTTTTGCGGGGAAGCGAACAAGCTCGTATCAATCAACGCCCGCGGTTTTTCCGCCCCATGTTCGACATTACAGAAGGCAGTTGAAGACGCAAGTTCATACACGTACGATCACGCGCATACGCACGCGCGCGCGCACGCTCTCACGCACACATGCACGCGCACACGCGCGCCCACACGCACACGTACCCAATGCCTCTAGTCACGATGGAAGGCGCGAAAGAGAAATAGAGTGTGTGTGAGAGAGAGAGAGAGAGAGAG